TTGTGAAGTAGAACATTTGGTCATTTTGGTTCGAAAACTTGCAATTATCGACCAAAATTAAAGTTGTCATTAAAATTTGTAAAGTTTTTTTTTGCAGAGGTAGTTAAAACAATGTAAAAAATACATCCGCCCATTATGAAAGAAATCCAAGCTAGCGCCGAGAAAACACGGTCAAAAGTTAGTTAAAAAGCAAGCCGATCTTGGCTTCCTCCAGACCGCCAGTTCGTTTCTGGGGCCACCTTAGTAGGTTTGAAAACTGGAGAAATCCATATTAAGGCTCGCCGCCCGGTCTAATTGATATTCCGGCTGTTCAAATGGCCCCTGGCGTACTTCAGTCTTCGGCGGTGCACTAAATATTCACCCAAATGACGGCAAATCTAAAGTTATTCGTATTCTTTCTACTTTCTTTTCATCATTTTTTCGATGCTGCAGAAACGGAGGATCTCGACGATTGCGCATATCACGTGGTGACGCGGTTAAATGAGGTTAGCTATGTTGTATTATTAGCTGAAAAACAACCTATACTTCAGAAATGTGCATTGTTTTTACGATACCTACGTGAAAACTTTAGAAAGCTTTCTCCTTGAAATGACAATTATCCTTTTTTGACAAAAATTCGAGTTTTCTAAAAGTTCGAAGGTTTTTCGATAGTTGTTCTGCTTGAAATATGGTAAAAACATATTAAAACCCATAAGAAATCACCTACTACTACGTAACTCGGCATTGCTGGAAATACAGGTAAGATACGTCCCCCTGATAATGCCACAGAACCTGAAATGACTCGGTTTCAGTACTGCGATGATTTCTACCGTCGTGATGGCCGCTGGCCAGTGCCGTTCTTCCGTGAATGTTGCGTCGACGACTAAAACGGTGCGATCAACGCTTCTGTGTAGACCGCTGCAAGATGCGATACGCGCCTCCTGCAGCGCGGTGAAAACCTGGATAAAGCTTTTTGGCGGTTCCGCTTCGACAGTACCGGAAAATCGGCTGAAGAATCTCATGAAAATTCAGCGTCGCGTCAAAAAGGCTGTTGATTGATTCCTAAAGATTTCCTAGACGGAAAAGACGATTTAGAAACTAAAAAAACCCAAAATTTTTCAAAATTCCCATCAAATTTGGCCCAGAAAAACACTGATCTTACAAAGGAGACGTTTTCTTTTGGTAATGGAGTTTGGGTCGAAACCAGGCCTATTTTGTGCAGAATTTCCCGCTGATTCGGAATATGTTTTCGATTTTTGCTAAATAGCTCGATTTAAAAAGTTACAGCTATTTTAAGATGATTTTTAGGCGCAGAGTAGCCATATGCCATGATGTGCTACTTTTTTCTTTTAATTTTCCCATTTATTTTAAGTAGCCTATCTTATGGAGAATTTATTTCTGACTCGAATGGTATATTTGATTAGTGAGCTGCTGCCGACCGATGATCACTTCCAGGGTGAGACATAAGCAGTTTTCTCCTTTGTCCCCCCCAGCCACAAGCGAGTCCATACCAAGTATCGTCAATTTTTTCGATTTCCAACAATTTTGAGTTAAATAGCTCATTAGATAGAAAAAATTTTTCCAAGTACGATGACGATATTTATTTTTGGAAAATCAGCCGGGAAAAGCAACATAATGGGCCTTAAAGATGTGAAAATTTGGGCTCAAATGATCTTAAAATTGCTTTAACTTTTTAAATCGAGCTATTTAGCAGAAATGGAAAACAGTTTCGAAATCAGCGCAAAATTCTGCACAAAATAGGCCTGGTTTTATCTCAAAACCCCATTCACACCAAAAAACGTCTCCTTGTTAGCAAAGAAAGAAACGCCTACTTATCAATTATAGAAAATAGATACTATTGTCCCCCCGTAAATGAAAAAGACCGGTCGAGCCTAGACTGGGCCCAATTTTTTCAGAAATCATATGAGGACCTCCGTTTCAAACGTGAAAAATCTTTTATTGAAATGACGTAAAGCACAATTCCTAATTCCATATTTATACCGGCAGCACGAGCCAAAGATGATGCGAGGGGAATAGGCACAGCGTGTGACAGCACAGAAATTTGGTCAAATTTTGCGAGCGCAAAATCAGCCGCCTAGCATGAATTATACGTTCTAGAATCGGGAAGCGCAGGGAAAGAGTATCACACATACAAACAAACACGACATATAAACTTGAAAAATCATTACACGGGCAGGGGCAGGGTGAAATTACCTGGAGGCGGCAGAGTCTATTTTCGGCCTTATCGGGCAGCGCCTCCATTTTCTATCTAAACAGGTTTTATAAGGCGAAATGCCTAGAACCCGCGAGTAAAATAGCGGGTTTTTAATTTAAAATATAATGACCTTAATGCAAGCTCGCCATTTCAATAGCTTTCGCATCGTGTAGCTATCGTTCTGCTCCGTTACTTCCGCGGCGCCTTAGAGGGGGAAAACGTAAGAGTTTTACGAATTTGCGGTAAAAAAACGGAGATATCGACGTTTCGACCCAGATGCCGCTTTTCGAGCAACGTCAAAATTTTGTGGGATTTTGATGGACTGCACTCCATTTTCCCATTTACAGCAAATTATAAAGTTGCAAAAGTGGCAAAATGGCAAAACGTTGTAGCAACACTTCATCTACTTGTCTTAGAAAAACTGGATCTGATGATGCAGACAAAGGCTTCCTAGCAGTACATGCACCATAATCGAATCAGAAAGCCCAACCACATCTCCTCACTTAACTCATACTGATCTCCCAGGTAGAAAGGCGGTTGAATTTCTGGGCAGGAGTTTCCGGTTCATGGTGCCTCTGCCTAGAACAAAACGGCCTCTATTGCGTGACAAAACCGTACCAATAACTTCGGGGACGTGGCCGGTACTTCCGTATGATCGTTTGCCCTTTGCCGCGATTGAGTCCTTGAAATTCTGAACCAAAATGCAAGAAATGACAAATCACTCACCGACATTTTCCCGCGTTGACGAGTCGCCCTTGGGTTTTTTCATCACCGTCTCGATGTCGATGTGGATCTGGAAAAAGAGATTTAGGCGTTGAGACATCTAACAAGGAGCGGCTGTAGGCGAGATCGTAGTTTTCCCCCGATGTGCCATAATAGATTTCATTAAAGCCTGGAATCTTGAAAAATCCCATCTTGCAAAAACCGCTGAACGACTACGGGGTTTCGCGAAAGTTTTTCAAGGTTTATAATTGGTTCGGCGCAGGCAAAAAAAAATAGCAAAATTGGCTGTTTCAGACGAAATTCTCTTGGGAAACCGTTGTTCCGCAATTTTGAAATGGGATTTGTTTGAAGATTTAACGCTTTACATCCAATGCGCTCTGCCACAAAGCTCCAAAGGCATCTAAAACACGGCTCGTCGGGCCTTAGCAAAAACGCACTTCTGGGGGCGCGGGCCCTCTCCCCGCGGATAGTGGGTTAACCTCCCAGGCGAGTCTGGGAGAGTTTAACAAAGTGAATCCAAAAACCGCAATTCCGCAATTTCGCTCCATAGTCAGCTTTTAGAGTTGCTATTACATCTTTTGGCTTATTAAAGGGATGCCGACGGCATAGTCAATCGGCTACGCGCTGGAAAGAAAATGTCTCTGCGCCTCTCCCCTGGGCGCGCTCTCTGCCCTGTTGGCTACTTGCCAATTTGTTGATGACTGGATCGACACATGTCGTCGGCAGCCCTTTAACGATAATAAGTACGTCCTGATGCGTTTATGTTAGCAAAATTGGGCTACAGATCACGCAGCTCCTGCTCCAAGCGTCCAAGTGCCCGACTATCTTAGCTATTTTCTGAATAGGATGTTCATAATTCAGCAGTTTTTCGATTAATACTACATTAAATTGATATTGTTACCTAGAAAACTGCCATACAAGGCTCAATTCCTTCCGGCTGAGGTGCTAGCATCGAAACATTAGGATCGCCATCGGACAAGAGTTTATCTTCTCCAGAACTTCCGTTATTAATTCAAAAGCATGTATCGTGACTCCAACCCAACCCTTTAGCGAGATTTGATCGTATTTTGATAAACAAAAGGCTGAAAAACTAGCCATAAGCCAGCTGGGTCGAAAATTTCGGGAACTTTAGGTCCCACTTGTAGGACCGGCAAGACCGAGGCGATCGAGAGGGTTGGTTTTGACTAGCTATTTATGACTTTATCTGATAAAGTTTATCATGACTTGATTGACTACCAGTGGACGTTTTCCTCAAAAAAAAGCGTATAAAGTATCGTATTTTACCCAAATTGGCTTGTGGAAGCGCGTTATAACAAGGTTGTTACCAGAAGAGCCTTTCTAGTAGTGGAAGCTATTAGATAATTGCCAACGATACGAAATGTAAAACTGTAAATGCTTTAGTAAACTTTCTAGAAGCATAAACAGTGCGTTAAACTAGGCATTGATACATTGTAATTATTGATCGAAGATGTTAAAGTATATTTTCTAGGTAAAATCAGTGATTGTAAGGCCTCGGATTGGCCCGTTTTTGGGTTCGTTTATTGGACGAGATTGGTTGGGGGTAAGCGACGAAGTCGTTCCTTTCGTTATTTTGAAGGCGCATCTCACAACAACCGTTTTTAGATGCCTTTGGAGCTTTGTGGCAGAGCGCATTGGATAAAGCGTTAAATTCTAAACAAATCCCATTTCAAAAATTGCGGAACAACGGTTTCCCAAGAGAATTTCGTCTGAAACAGCCAATTTTGCTATTTTTTTTTGCCTGCGCCGAACCAATTATAAACCTTGAAAAACTTTCGCGAAACCCCGTAGTCGTTCAGCGGTTTTTTGCAAGATGGGATTTTTCAAGATTCCAGGCTTTATCGAATGAGCTATGGCACATCGAAAAACTACGATCTCGCCTTACAGCCGCTCCTTGTTAGATGTCTCAACGCCTAAATCTCTTTTTTCCAGATCCACATCGACATCGAGACGGTGATGAAAAAGTTCCAAGGGCGACTCGTCAACGCGGAAAATGTCGGTGAGTGATTTTGAGCCATTTCTTGCATTTTTGGTTCAGATTTCTCGGACTCAATCGCGGCAAAGGGCAAACGATCATACGGAAGTACCGGCCACGTCCTCGAAGTTATTGGTACGGTTTTGTTACGTAATAGAGGCTGTTTTGTTCTAGGCAGAGGCACCGGCGAACCGGAAACTCCCGCCCAGAAATTCAACCGCCTCTACCTGGAGATCAGCGAGTTGGGCGAGGAGATTTCGGTTGGGCTTTCGATTCGATTGGCGTGCATGTACTGCTAGGAAGCCTTTGTTCGCATCATCGGGATCCAGTTTTTCTAAGACAAGTAGATGAAGTGTTGCTACAACGTTTTTGCCATTTTGCCACTTTTGCAACTTTATAATTTGCTGTAAGTGGCTAGCTTGAAATGGAGTTCGACTATCGGTATATGTCGGCTACGCGGGGGAGGGGGAGGTATTTTACGCGGGGGGACGGACTGTTGGGGCCTACCTAACTATTTTTTTGCGTTTTTTTGCTACAAACAAAACTCTTAGTATATTTTTTGACGCTCTGTCGAATGACGTCTAAAGAAATTTTGTAAAAATGTCCCAAATGTCGAAAGTTTCAGTTCCTTCTATATCCTCCATGAAAACAACGTTTTATAGTTGTTTTTGTTATAGCACTATATTATATTACATTCATTTTGATCTACAAATTAAAACTCCTCGTATATTTTGGAGAGCTCTATCAGATGGCATCTTTAAAATGTCGAAAAATGACGCGGTAATGTCGAAAAACGGCCGCTCAAACCGATTTTCAAAGCTTATTTTTGTATTTGCCATAAATACACTAATTTTAGCTAAAACAAAAACTCTTAGTATATTTTTTGATGCTCTATCGAATGACGTTGCGAAAATTCCGAGAAAATAACGAAAACCTGTCCTGTCCCTTCCCCCGCGTAAATTCCCCCCCGCGTAGCCGACATATACCAAACTATCAAAAAACCTACAAAATTTTGAGAATTTGCTCGAAAAGCGGCATCTTTCGTCGAAAAGTCGATATCTCCGTTTTTTACCGCAAATTCGTAAAACACTTACGTTTTCCCCCTCTAAGGCGCCGCGGAAGTAACGGAGCAGAACGATAGTTACACGATGCGAAAGCTATTGAAATGGCGAGTTTGCATTAAGCTTCAATATATTTCTTTTTAATTAAACCCGCTATTTTACTCGCCATTTTCTAGAATTTTGCAGCCGCTTCGCGACTTTTCAACCCTAGCCCCGTCTTACCCCCATACTTCATCACTTTGCATAAAGACCCGAATTCCTGTGCAGAAAATGAAAGCGCGTCCTCTCCCCTATTATATAGGCTTCCATCACTTCCGGTGCATGCTAATTGATTCCTAACAAAGAGACCGAGCGAGATTTTCACAAAAACTTAATTTTAATATCGAAAACAGCTGATTTTTAAAAATCTCATATGCGTGCAGTCGTGTCATGACCATTACTCACCTAATGACGTATCATACGTACACTTAACTTCCTCCCCTATTGAGATACGACTGGAACATACGGACGGAATTTGCATGCAAATACACACACACAAACACTATTTTTTATATATAGTAGGATATATTTATAGTTTCTATTCACTATCGTTTACATTATAATGACATTTTGTTGATTTTAATAATCATTTCTTTACAGGCGACCTACCAAGCGGCTCGCAGCCCCTCGGGAGCGCCGTCGAGGATTTGTGACTACGCGCCGACGTGCTCAACCCGAACTTCCTGGAGTCGACGGACAGCCGGCTGAACACGATACTCAGCAAGATGAAGCAGGTCGACGAGAAGAAGGAACAGGCGCCGGCCGACGAGCTGGAGCGCAACGTCGACGAGCTGTTGGCGCTGATGAAGAAGTGGGTGCCGCAGGCGGCTTCTTGTCATAATCACGAATTTTTATAAAGTTTAATTTGTATAATTCCCAGTCATAATGCCGAATTTTGAATCCCGAATGATTCTTTCGCATTCTCGGGGGGGAGGGGATATCCTACCTTATATAATTTTGGAGTGTATCTGTGTGTGTGTGTGTGTGTGTCCGGCGCGTTTTTGGGGCCCCGGAAGACTAATTTGCATAATGCGAAAAAAATACAGATTTCCTCATTCTTGAAAGCCACACGCGCGAGTGTGGTCGGGGGAGGAGGGTCCGAAGGACCGAGGCCATCGAAAGAATCAAGTTTCTCATTCCAAGGCCGCATTCCAGCGCCCAAGGCCCGCGAAGCGGGTTTTGGGCGCTGGTTTTCCCATAATTTCAGAGATGTCTAGTAACCTAATAAGAAGTATTTTAGTAATTTTTAGTGGCTTTTTCCAAATTGGGTAAAGAAACTATCAAATCAGTTTAGTACCAGATGGTTCCAGTCGCTTCGCGACTGCAACCATCTGGCCTTCGGGTTAACCCTTGATGTAATTCCCCACCTATCCACCTACTTCTACTAACTACTTCGATACCTTCGTGATGGCTTCAGATAACCCCCTCGCCGAACTCCCCTTCAAAAACTACCTACATACCTTCCTAATGGCTTCAGATACCTCCCCTAGCCGAAATCCCCTGGAAAAACTACCTAAATACCTTCCTGATGGCTTCAGATACCGCCCATGGCTCAATCCCCTTCAAAAACTACCTAAATACCTTCCTGATGACTTCAGATACCCCCCCATGGCTGAAATCCCCTTCAAAAACTACCTAAATACCTTCCTGATGGCCAGATACACTCCCATGGCTGAAATCTCCTTCAAAAACTACCTAAATACCTTCCTGATGGCTTCAGATACCCCCCATAGCTAAATCCCCTTCAAAGCTACCTAAATACCTTCCTGATGGCTTCAGATACCTCCCATGGCTGAAATTCCCTTCAAAAACTACCTAAATACCTTCCTGATGGCTTCAGATACCCCCATGGCTGAAATCCCCTTCAAAAACTACCTAAATACCTTCCTGATGGCTTCAGATACTCCTCATGGCTGAAATCCCCTTCAAAAACTACCTAAATACCTTCCTGATGGCTTCAGATCCCCCCCATGGCTGAAATCCCCTTCAAAAACTACCTAAATACCTTCCTGATGGCTTTAGATACCCCCCATGCTCAAATCCCCTTCAAAAACTACCTAAATACCTTCCTGATGGCTACAGATACTCCTCATGGCTGAAATCCCTTCAAAAACTACCTAAATACCTTCCTGATGGCTTCAGATACCCCCCATGGCTGAAATCCCCTTCCAAAACTACCTAAATACCTTCCTGATGGCTTCAGATACCCCCATGGCTGAAATCCCCTTCAAAAACTACCTAAATACCTGCCTGATGGCTTCAGATACCCCCCATGGCTGAAATCCCCTTCAAAAACTACCTAAATACCTTCCTGATGGCTTCAGATACCCCCCATGGCTGAAATCCCCTTGAAAAACTACCTAAATACCTTCCTGATGGCTTCAGATACTCCTCATGGCTGAAATCCCCTTCAAAAACTACCTAAATACCTTCCTGATGGCTTCAGATACCTCCCATAGCTGAAATCCCCTTCAAAAACTACCTAAATACCTTCCTGATGGCTTCAGATACCCCCCATGGCTGAAATCCCCTTCAAAAACTACCTAAATACCTTCCTGATGGCTTCAGATACCTCCCCTAGCCGAAATCCCCTTAAAAAAAACAAAAATAACGACCGACCGGATGGAATGAGATAAAAAAAAGAAATGAAATCCCCCGTGAAAATTTTCATTCACGAAACGCGCGTCACCTGGCTCACTATGTCCAAAATCACCCCAACCTCCGTCCCCCACCCCTTTTACTAAGGGAAAAACTTTCAAAGTTAATTTTAATAATTTAAACTAAAACTTTTTCATAATTTTTTTATCAGTTTGGGGGTTTCTGACCACGCTCTATCCGAATCCGAAGAGAGCTAAGCTCTAGCTCCTTTCCCCTTCGAGTTGAATTCGGCTTCACACAGACGGACGGACGGACAGACGCGTCAAGAAAATTATTATAGTTGATTTCGCACTTGCCTAAAAAATCATTATTTACGCGGAAATCGAGATTTCGTATTGATATTTAGTGTTTTTTGATCGGGTATATAAGCCTTTTTATGTTAAAAACGGTGAAAAAGATCTACAAATCTCTATCGCAAATTCCGTAGAATGAATGGTATTTCGACATTATAATTAGCCAAAAGGCCTGATGAAAATGCATCGTTATCATAATTCGGAAGAAAAAGTCGTCATTGAAAAATTCGTCGTTTGACATTCAGCATTAATACGTTTCGGCATTAACAAAATTCGATGTGATGAAAATTCGGCATTATCAAATTTCGGGAATCTCAAAATTCGTCATTAGAAAAATTTCGGCACTATCGAAATGCGGGATGGTGACGTTTCGGGCAATATTAAATTTCGGCATTTAAAAATTCGGCCTTATCGCATTCTGAATTTTTGAAAATTGAAGCAAAAAGAAAACCTTACAAGGAGACGTTTTTGAGTGTCGTCGGGACTTTGGCACGGGACCAAGCCTATCTTGTGCAGAATTTTACGCTGATTCCGAATATGTTAACCGTTTTTGCGGAATAGCCATTTCTCGAAAGTTATGAACGATTTAAACCTCAAAACAGCCCAAAATCGGCTACTTTCGATAGTCATAAAAGGCTCCGGAATAGGTTTTAGACAAAACTTGATAGTGCATCTTTTTCAGAAAAAAATTCTCTATAAAATAAGCTACTTAACTCAAAAATGCTGAAATTTTGAAAATTTTTGTAAAATTATGGTCCTCCCAATTTATCAAATTTTTCCAGCTTTTCAATGATTTTGGAAAAGATGGTACATTTTATAGAGAATTGTTTTCTGAACAAGATGTACTATCTGGTTTTGTCTGAAACTTATTTTGAAGCCTTTTATGACTATTAAAGTAACCGATTTTAGCTGTTGAGTTTTAAATCGTTCTGGCCTTTCGAGAAATGTTTATTCTGAAAACGATCATCGTCGGAATCTCTGTACGTGCGCAAACTGATCCCAGTCAGGACACTCAAACGATGTCCTTATTGATCTACCAGGTCCCCGTCAAAAACCTCATTTTCTAGGTGGGACCCGATCTGCACGAATCTGCCGAGCCAGGTGAAGAAGCTCAACTCATTGGCGAGGCTTCACGAATGTGGTCCGTTTTTCGACGTTATAAAGAAAAGAAAAAGGGGAATAGATAGAATGTAGCTAGTTTTGTCGGTGGAAAACTATTTTGAAGCGCTAAGACTTTGAACGTTGGCTAGCCTAGTAGAGACAATTTAGGAACACTGCCCCTATTTATATTTGAAAACTTAGATCCTAAGAAAAAGGGCGCCGAGCTGTGGCCGATTCTCCACAAGAACGACAACATCAGCGCCATCAGCGCCATCGAGGTCATGCGGGTCAATTTTTGTTTCTGCCTCCAAATGGCTTTTTATAGGAAATTGCCTGAGCGCAATCCCCGGGCCTTCGACTCGCCGCTCGATCTACAAGACGAAATTTTGAACGACGATCATCACCGCAATCGCGAGGACAAACCCGGTACACTTTTTCATTTTTTTCGCTGTGTGCTTTCAGAAAAACCTCCCAATCTGCGTAGCAAGCTGCGACATCCAGGCCTCCCTCGAGACGTTCGACACTGACGAGCTGACCGAGTTCAAGCGCAAGCTGCCGCAGCCAGGGATTGGGTTCTTTTGCATTATCCGGGGGGACCGCACTTTTTTCTCTAAGCCTAGGAATTTATAGTAGCTTAATCCGAAGTATTTTGTTAATAACAATATAACGTTATTTCAACGAGAAAACTTTTAAAAAGTGTTGGAAAATGTCGGAATTAGGTCAAAAAAAGAGCGTTTTTTGGCCGAAAAATCTAAATTTTTGATAGTCTTAGTCAATTTTTTTAGTTTTTGACGTTTAGGATTAGTAAAAACAGCTTAGCAACGCTTCCGCGATGGCCCACTAAAAAACCATGGCCCACTAAACTCCCCCCTGCCCCTCGATAATGCGAAAGAACCGGGGCTGAACCGGACCAGGTAATTCTTTTTTTTTGCTTTATAATCGTCGTTAATTTCACTTCTGTACAATTCTTCTTTCCAGGTAGGCATGCATCGCATCCCCAACACCACGTCCCGTTGGGCGGGCCGAAACACTTCAGGGCCACGCCGAACCAGAAGCGCCACCACATCCACTCGTCAACACGAATCACCAAGGTCGACAATTGAATCGAATCAGCTCCCTGTTGTATATTATCGCCCAATCTCACACCCATCACATTTACTCTTCCTGATATGCATTAACTCCTCTTGCCGGCCCTATTTTTACCTGGTCTATAAGGTTTAACCTGGTGTTTTAAGCAGCTGCATAATAAATCTCTGACAAAGTTTCATGTTATTGCACGTCCTATGCAAAAGTTTGAGACTCCTCAAAGAGTTATATATTATTTATCCGATTCAGATTGTGGATTTACGGACAAGACGTGCTTCATTGTCCATTTACTACTTAATTTCAGAGTTGTTATTCGACCCAATTTGGTCCAAACTTTCGGCCAGGGTCGAACCGAAAAGTGGTCGAACGCTTTTCGAAACTTCCGACCAGGCTCCAAACGAAAAGTGGTCGAACGAGTTTGCTTTCGACCAGGGTCGAAACTTCGACCCAATTTTGGTCGTCCGTTGGAAAGCGTTCGGTTCTTTAGGATTTCCGGGGGGGAAAGTATTTCCGGGGGGGGAAACCAAATTTTTTCGGCCCGAGCCTAAATTTTTTTCTAAATAGCGCATGCGTTTCTAAATGGTTTTAACTAGTCCTGAGCATAAAAACTACCCACATTTTAATTAAAAAATTTAATTTTAGGTCGAAAAATCCTATAGAACCTTTAGGATTAGCGGGGGAAAGACCCAAAATGACTAAATTTTCGACTTTTTCAAACATTTTTCTAACTTTTTTGAAAGGTTTTTCTACTTTAAATATAGTTAAAATTTACTAAAAACAATGTGAAAACACTTTATATTTGATTACTAGGTCAACCGGGAAAACCAGGAAAAATTTGGTTTCCCCGGAAATACTTTCCCCAGAAATCCTAAAGAACCTTCAAAATGCAACCTTCTCAACGGCGAAGCAATTCTAGCAAGCTTCTTTAGCCTGCTAGGACGGTTAGAAAAAAACTTCGCGAAATAGTCAGCCGTGTTCAACAACCTCGAAGAAATGCTAAAAACTACCCCCAAATGATTTTCAATCGGATTGGCGCCGAGCTGTTCGAACTGCTCGAAAATGATGTTCATCTTCTGATTCGATCAAAATAGCCTAGTTCATATACTGCGGTCATTGGCAAAAACCAGCCCAGGCAGCACCCCACAGAGCACCCCAAAAGGCACCATCGGGTGGTTTTGAAAACACCCCGGGGTGCTTTCTGGAGCACCCCAAGGGGGGCGGGGGTACTTTCTGGAGCACCCCACTGGGGGGCAGGGTGCTTTCCAGAGCACCCCTCTCTCGGTTTTGTCTCCCTCCCTCTTGTTTCCACCCCGGAGTGCTTTTTGGGGGCACCCCGGGGTGCTTTTTAAACGCCCCGGGCAGAGGCGTAGCTATTTAAGTTTCGGGGGCAACGACATTTCGGAGGGGCAGCAAGAAAAATTTTTCGAAATTGAAGCGCCGCCGGCAAAAACTTAATAAAAAGTAATAAAAACAGCGCCGCAGGCGAAAAAATTTTCAAGATGAAAAAAATCATAAGGGGGGACCCTTACGTTTTTTCCGGGCCCGCCCGATTTCGGGGGGCAACCTGCCCCCGCTGCCCCCTTCTACGCGCCTGACCCCGGGGCCCGGGTATGGGGAGCCAGATAGCCAGGAGCACTGGTTTCACTGCTAAGCTTACATAGGGCAAAAAAACTGGTAGAATCGATGTATAAGCGGTTTAGCTTGTATAATCGATCACCAATTAATGCGTGAAATATCTCAAAATGTTTCCCTCGTCGAATACTCCATTTCCATATACTTTTTAGAAGAAAAAAAATAACAAATAACAATTTTGTAAGCAATTTTATGTTGAGGCGAAACTATACTCTTGCGGGGACAAGGCAACGGCGCGCCCCTTTCGACGATCACGACGGGGAAAGGGATGGCTGCCGTCGTTTCGACCCTGGTCGAAAGTTTCGACCAAAATTTGGTCGAAGTTTCGACCCTGATCGAAACCAAAAGCGTTCGACCACTTTTCGGCTCGACCCTGGTCGAAAGTTGCGACCAAGACTGGGTCGAAGTTTCGACCCTGGTCGAAACCAAACCCCCTTTCGACCACTTTTCGGTTCGACCCTGGTCGAGAGTTTCGACCAAATTGGGTCGAAGTTTCGACCAGGGTCGAATAACAGCTCTACTTAATTTTAGCCATGGTTCTCTCATCGGAAGCCCGGGAAGGCCTAATGAAGCAAATGGCGCGCGTTGGTGAGTTTTAAAGATTTGTTGCGATTCGTTCGCTTATTTGTTGTAAGATTCCGCGGGAGCAAATTTTTCCTATGGGCCCCGGTTGGCCTAGCAGTCAGATATGAAGGGTTTTTACATCGTAACGTTTTAACTATATTTCAGTATTAAATATATATATATATATATATATAGTCTTTTAAGTAGTAATTTTGTCATTTTGGGTCGAAAAATCAATGTTTCGTACTAAAATTAAATTTTTATTTCAAATTTGTAAAGTTTTTATGCTTAGGAGTGGTTAAAAACTATGCAAAAACGCATCCGCTATTCATAAAAAGCTTTTAGGCTGAGGCAAAGGCTGGTTAGCTGTTAACTTTAGGGCTGGAAAGGGTTGATTTGCATATAGCAAGAAAATAAGAAATTTTGGTTCTTTAGGATTCCCGGGGGAGTATTCCCGGGAAACCAATTTTTTCCTGGTGGTCCCGGGTGACCTAGTAATCAAATATAAAGTGTTTTCGAATTGTTTTTAGTAAGTTTTAGCTATATTTAAAGCAGAATAACTTTCAGAAAAATTTAGAAAAATGTTTGAAAAAGTCGAAAATTTGGTCATTTTGGGTCTTTCCCCCCCCGAATCCTAAAGGTTCTATAGGATTGTTCGACCTAATTTTTATTTTTTTATTTTTTTGGTTAAAATGTGTGTAGTTTTTATGCTCAGGAATAGTTAAAAACAATTTAGAACCGCATCCGCAATTTATAAAAAAATCTAGGCTTGTGCCGAAAAAAACTTGGTTCCCCCCCCCGCGAATCCTAAAGAACCGAAATTTTACAGACTCCCAAGCCTTTCCTAATCTTTTTTTTTGTTTAGAAAACAACGAACTGGTTCTATCGGAACTCACAATTTTGGCCACCCAGATGTGCATTGAAGAAGCGAAGTTCACCGACAAGAAGCTCCCGCATCTCCGACTTGGAGAACCCCTCCTCGAGACGACTGCCCCGTACTGCGAATTCGTCTCCATCCAGTACGCTACTCTCTCCGCAAGCGAGGCGGAATCACTGAGAGTTGAGGTAGCCTTTTTACACCTTAAAAAATTACCAAGTGCGGTTTATCCCCGCCTACCGTATCTCGGCTCCGCATTATCCTGCCGGGTGTTAAAGTATATCAAAATACTCGCCAGAGCAAGGCGAAAATTTTGGCATAATTTGCACATCTGTAGGCCAACAAGGGTCCGAGATACAAAAACTGGGCGCCGGCTGGGGGGGGGGGTTGCACTGCAATCTACCCGTAAAAAATGTCAGGGTTCCGGTCAGTTAGTCGGTACGTTTTGATAATACCCGACTTCAAACATTTCGTATTTTCAGGGAATCCACACCCGCCGAATCGGGCCGCACAAAGTCCTCAATGTCAAGCCACACCCAGCAGGCGACACAAGAACGCTCCATCCAAACTCTCGCGAGTATGCTGGGGAGTACGAGGTATCTACAACCCAATTTATTCTTACATTTATTAGGGCAAGGACGTGCTCGTTACCCAATGGGACTTTAAGATGAAGCTCGCCCGTCGGCCGAGGAGGCGGATGCCGGATTTTCGAGGTTTTCGCGGTATGCATTTTCGCGCTGGTTCGCTGGCGAGCAGAAACCTAACGTAGTGGTATAGCCATGATGTTAACAGCATTTGATCCCTGCATTTCAATCTAGCAAAATTATTTCAATTTGTGGAAAATTTTACTCTAAATTGAATAATTTTGACTATGGTCAAAGATGTTTCAAAAAAAGGGACCAATTCTTCAGCAATAATTATTTATTTAATATTGGCCGCTTTTTTTGGCAGCGCTACCTATGAATAAAAACGGTACTCGACGATTAGCGTGCGGTTTAGCAGGGAAAAATAATTTTTTGTTTTCCCGCCCATAACTGTTGGTAATCCACAATTTTTTAATGGTTTCTGTTTGCCAAAAGCTTAAAATCAGTTTGAAAATTGAAAATTCGAACATTTTTTCGAAACACTTAGAGAATGTTGAGAATTTTAATGGGGGGTTGATGGCTAAAACACCATAAAATAGTTTAAGTTTTATGAATTTATGAAAAAAGGTTATTAATGACGAAAGTCGCGTCCCTCGCTAACGAACCAGAGCTGGAATTTGAATGCTTATTGTTGTCAGAACGTAAATGCGAACCTTAGAAGCCTTCTCTTTTTCAGCCCGGCTGGACGATTTCAAGGCCACCATTCCGCGCCTGGAGAGCTTCAACGAGCCCGACGTCACCATTCCCTTTGCTTTCATACATTGGCAGGACCTTGTGGCAAATGAGGAGATCTTTCACGTAAGCGGTTTTGGAGCCTGTTTAAAATTGTACTTTTAACCGGGACCGTCGTGCGATTTGTCCAAAAACCACTTTCCTACGGCTTCCAAACAATTTCGTTTATTTTTTTGCCTTCTTGATTAGGCGAACAGATTTTCCGCCATCGCACGCGACTATCTAAATTTTTTTTCACAGCATTTTACGCGATTTAATGATAGATCAAAAAGTTTTCACAGTAGCTTACGCCGTCTTAGATATAGAAATTTCTTTGAAAACTATAAAAATTCCAGGAGCGGATTAGCTACGCGCAATACCTAAAGCCGACGGATTCCAATCTCTTGCAGATCGCCGACCGATTGGAAGGTGAGGTATGTTTTCCATTTTTCGTGGGATTACGTTACCTTTCTTTTAGAACATATCGCTCCCTCATCTCGCCCGCTCGTTGAGCAACGGGCTAAAATGTCTGCACGAGAAGGGGCTGGCGCACGGGAAAATAGGTAATCCATTAGTGCTTTTCGGAATAGGTTTAACTTTCAGATAACGGTTCAGTGTGGACCGAGGATTTTGTCAATTATAAATTATCGGATGGACATGTGAAGTAAGAAATATTTTAATGCTTTATTTCGGCTTTCCGTCTATCCACTTTATTGCGAAGGGCGCCCGAAATTTTGTTATAGTCTAGAAATGCTTGGAAATCCTTAGGAATTGGGTTATTAGTCTTTTGAGTAAAATATAGCCATAACTAGACAAACTATCTAAAGCTTTAAAAAATGTTAAAAAGAGAAATTTTGCCCAAAACTCCGATATTTTTGCCCCAAAAATCGGCATTTCTGGTGTTTTTAATAAAATTCAGTAAAGTTTTTACGTTTATGTTACTATGGATTATATTTGAAAAATTGTATGCGAAAAACCCTGCTTTCTAGGAAATCCATCTCGGAACTGGCGGAAGTCTTCGGCGCCATCATGCGGGGCGAGAACGGTCCCCACCCATCTGCCGTGCAACTCGATTGCAAGGCTCATCAGAAGCAGGATCTGATCGATCTCGGTTCGTTGGCAGGCAATTATTGCATCACCCACCCATTTTAGGAATTCTTCTTGGAAGTTTTACGCTCTCCCCTCCTCGCGGGGCTATGGGCCATTTTTTGAAAGCGTGCGAGGACGCTAGCGATGCCATAGAATTGGCCGAGCACTGTCAGTTTACAAGAGGTTCGTTTCGTGGTGCTTGACCATCTAAATGGAGCGCTAATGGAAGGGATTTTTCACAGCTTACGCTGCTGATAAGATAATGTGATGGATGATAGTGTTTCTAGTCGTTTTGATTGCTAAAAAAAAGTTATAATTTTTTGAAATTTTCAAACCTTTTTAGCTGCTTTTTGATACATTTTTACCCAAAAAGCCCGAAAAAAACTGTCGAAAATTGTAATGATTATTCTATTACTACTAGTTATTATAATTTTGTTTTTTATTAATATGCGTTATCTACTAATAGGCGGAAAGAAAAATTAGTTTCTCCCAGAAAAGCATCTTTGCCACCTAAACCTCCTCCATTAAACGAGAAGAACCTGCTGATTTAATCACCTATTTTTAGATCCCAATAGCTGCGAAGAAGTTGACGCCGGTGATGCCGATATGCAAGACCAAGACGCCGATATGCAAGACCAAGACGCCGATATGCAAGACCAAGACGCCGATATGCGACCTCGCTTCCTACTCGGTACGGTGATTTTTTGGTGCTGGAACGCTGGAGGCGGCTTTATCAATGGGCAAACTGATTTTGGTCTTTTCGCCTATTCGTAACATATAATGTGTTTTTGTAGCGTGGTTCAATGCTGTTGATTGCTAAAAACTTATAAAAAAATCTTTACAAATTTCTAAAATTTTTGGACTAGTTTGCTGATTTTTGAATTTTTAGCCACAAATCCCAAAAAAAATCGTTTTTATAGTTATTTTATGTTTTTGCCGCTTTTAAAATACCGCTGGACGTTAATAGGCGCGTCAATAAAAATTAATTTCCCCAGAAAAAATATTTGCCTCCTAAAGATGAGCGCGATGGATCTGCTGCTTTAATCGCGTCTTTTTTAGTTCCCGACGGATCCGATTCTGGCGATGGGCAAGCGCCCGAAATTGAGGAGCAAGATGTGGACCTTTTTCCCGAGATGGTAGACCAACACGGCGATGTGCAGCTGAATCTCGGTACGTTTTTTTTTGTTACTGAACGTTAGAGGGGGGGGGGGCTTTATCCGTGGGGAAGCCAAATTTTTGTTATTCCGCGCATTTATAATATACAATGTGTTTGTATAGTGTTTTTAGTAGTTTTGCTAAAACGTAAATAATTTTAAATTTGGAAATTTCGAGAATTTTGACCTTTTTTGTGTGCTGATTTTTGATGCCTTTCAACAAAAAAGCCGAAAATTGTCGAACATTTTGTTAGTTATTTTATGAGGTTGACCAATATTCAAATAGGCTACATGTGAATAGGCGGAGAAATAAAAACTAGTTTCCCCAGAAAAAAATTGTTAGTAAAAACCATTTTCATTTACAATTATACACATTTCATAATTTGTTAATATGGAAAACCTTCGAAAAAAAAGTTACGCCATTTTGAAAATCTGTTTACTCTTTAGTCGCAAAATGAAAAATGACCAAATCTGAGCAAAACTTCAGATTTCTCGGGTGTTCTCAAGAAGGTTTTGTAATGCGGTGATAACCGGCGGCTAGTAACAACACTATCAAAAGTATATTATCTTTTTTATATAGTTAGTGGATAGCAATAATTAATGGGCAAGTAATCAACCATTTAAAATGTGACTTGTTACCCCGCTAAAAAATTGCCCCGCCGTTCACACGGAAACATCAAAAAAATTTTTACAGGTAGCCCGAGTGACAGCAACTTCCTGGTGTGCCCTGTTTGTGAAGACCGAATCTGCCAGGACATGGTTGGCCGTTTTAACTTTAGGTTTATTTCTCTTTTAGTCGAGGTGCGCTACATGCAACAATTGGATCCACGAGGGTTGTGCAAAAGTGGTATGTTTGATTTTTTGGCATCCCTGATTATTTCCACGCCTTTTTTTTCGTTTGAGGTCTTATAACATTTTCCAGGTCGGCGGCGTGCGGTTCTGTTGCGGCGATGAGTGCCGTTGATTTCTCATTCTCATGAAAATCCGGAGGTTGTGAGGCTGTAGTTTAGTTAGAGAGAAAAATTATTATTATATATGCAAATCAAAGAGAAAACGGGAATTGTAATTGTAAGGTGCTCAATCGCCCCCTCGCCTCACTCAAGGCAAGCGTTTTGCTGTCTTTATACGCGAATTTTTGTCATTTTATTCTTTACGGGTTCTGCTTTTAATCACGATCAAATTCCGGTATGTGTATACCCGAACTGGTGCGTT